TTATGATGATTGTCTTGCTTTACTTGATGGTCGTCTCAAACAATTAATGACTTTGATTGTTACTATTGATAAAATCGAATATTCGTCGAATGTTTACAATTTAGTAAGTTTATACTTTATTAGATTTATTTTTTCCACTTACAAAAATACTATGTAGGGTAATAATTGGTTTTATATTATTATAGATAGATTTTTTTTTGTTAATGAATTAGTATTGATTTGAATCAATTATAATTAAATAGATGTGAAATGAATGCTCGTGTATTCGATAAGCAAAAATACAGTCAATTTTATATATTAGATTTTCTTACTATAAACAATCTTTACTTTTTTTTTTGGTCACTTAGATCGTTTTCGTCATTGTTATTGTTTTCTAATAAATAGAAAAACTACAAGAAGCATGAGTATGAAAGATGAAAAGGATCAAACGTAATAAAAGAAGAACAGATAGAGATTATTAAATATAGAAAAGCTAAATTGAAATAAGTTTCATTTGTTATGTATTGATGAGTTGTTCGAAGAAGATTTTAATGTAAATGATATTTGTTCAAATCGATTCTGATGATTTTCTGTAATGGAAATAGTCATATCATATCTGATGATATGACTTGTTTTCTATACAAATAATATTTTTTTGTCTAATACAGATATAATAAGAAACTTGATCTAAAATTTTTAAGTCCTTTCAATATCCGTTATTTTTTTATATTCTAGAAGTATAGAAATACAATATGATTATCTTATGTTATCATTTTAGAAGAACATATTTATATGATAAAGTAGAAGAAATATTTAAAAATGAATTAAATAGAAATAGAGATGTTTTTCAATCTTGAATTATTTATCTAAACTTTTTTTTTGTTATTTTTATTGATTAATAATATATTTTATATTTTTTCTAGAATAATTTACCTAATTTGAAATGTTTTTCTTTAACAACATCTTGTTGCTCAACAGTTTTATATGATACTCAAATTCTATCTCTTTTTCGTCGTATGTTAAATCTTGAAGAATTAACATTATATATTACTATTAAAAATCGAACTACATTGATCGATGGTATTCATATTTCTAATGAAATTCTTGTTCATATGCCACGACTTCATATATTTAACTTTTGTATTTCTACTAACATTAATATGGATCATTTAGGACATTATTTATCTAAAGATGATATTCAACGAACTTTTACTAATACAATATATCGACAAGTGGATTGTATTATAAGTAACGGATATAATATTGCCACATATTGTGTCTTTTCATTACCATTCATGTTTGATTGTCTTGAATCTATTGGTAATACATTTCCAAATATTATTTTCAGTAATGTTACACGGTTGACAGTGAACGATATAGTTCCATTCAAACATGAATTTTTCCATCGAATTGCTTGGTCTTTTCCTTTACTGAAACATTTATGGGTTATTAATCATGAACCACAGGGATCAAAATCAGACAAATTGAAATTTAATTATAATCAATTCTATTCAATTGTTAAATTTCCTTATCTTATTTCGCTTCGGCTTGATACTACTTATATTCATTATACCGATCAATTTCTCAATGAGACAAAAACACATCTACCTCGTCTAACCAAATTAACAATCTGTTATAATGATTTATACATGGTGACAAGAAACTTTAGAAGAGGTATAACACGGCTTAATTGCAGGAAAATAAAACAATTAATTTTCAATACAATAATAATGCCAAGAATAAAACGTTCAAAAAGTTTCAATGATTATTTTCCTGTGTTAGAATCCTTCGTTTGCCCTTTACTATATGAATATAATGGATAATGTAAACATATTAATAGTATTTTATTCAATCGAATCATATTATCCAAGAATTATTAATTACAAATGCTTATTAACTCTTGAATTTTTTTTTCTCCAATAAATATTTAAATTTTACATCTTGTTTATTATATGTTATATATCAATAAAGATTAGTTTGTTTATCTCATATGTTTGAAATAGTTCAATAAATAATAAAAATCAATCTATTGTCTATTCATAATCAGTGATATATTGTTTTAAATAAATTATTAGAATTAGATAAAATTAGATTTAAGTACTTTTTTTTTGTATATGAAAATTCAATATTGTGTTTAGTAGCATTTTGTTTGCAAACTTTAACCAATAACTTTAATATATTCAACTCTTCAAATATCAGCTATTAATTATTATTGTTCTTCATTTTGCGTCTAGATGAGCTGTGAAAGTCATTTATTTATTGCTTTTTAGTTCTAGTTCAATATTGTCACAATGGTCAAATTTAAAACATTTTTTCTGAATATCATTGTAGCAGCAGAACCTTTATTAATAGTTCATCATAACGTTGCAGTGACGGATTTTCTTCTGTGATAGATATTTCCAGTTCTTTTTTGAATTTCTGATTATACTTATTTGTTAGTGATTAAATCGATAGATAAGATGGTTATTGAAAACATGTATGCTATAATATAAAGGACAATTTGATATTGAATCTAACAGATTTGACGTAAATGTAATCTGGAATTATGTTTATCATAATCAAGGGGATAGTCTTTTTCTAATGGTAAACGATAATCAGCAAAAGGAAGAACACGTTCACCATGATTACTTTATTTATTGAAAATATTTTTTGAATTTTTTTTTAAATGAAATTTAGTTTTTTTTTTTTTTTTTTTTACTTAATTCATTGAATGCAGCTTCATATTGTCTTTTCCAAAATTTATTAAATTCAATTTCACAACCATCAACATATACAGTTGAACAATTTTTAAGAATTGTTTTTGATGCTCCTTTCATAACAAGTAAATATCGTTCATCTTGATCATATGTTGAATGAATTGATAATTGATAACGATTCGATGATGAAAATTGAACTTCACATAGTTTTGCATTTTTTGAACGATAATGTGAAACATTACTTATCTTTATAAATTATTTTATTTTTATATTATATATATAAGAAAAAAACAAATAACATACAATAGCCTCCATATATTTAAGAATAGCTATTTCACTTGCATCACCTCCTTCACATTCTCGTTGAATAATTGGTCTTGAACGATTACTTGAATTATCTTTAAATGTAGCTGTATTACATAAACTAGCATATCGTGCTAATGCATTCTAACAAGGAGAATATGTTATATAATTTGATTCTATTTAATTAAATTTTTTTTTAAATATAGTTTTAAAAAAAAAGATCTATTTTACGTGATTGAAAAACGTCAATATCACAATCAATAATATGATTATCGAACCACATATGTACAACAGACATTTGATTTTGTGTTAATGTTCCTGTTTTATCAGCACAAATAACTGTTGTTGAACCAACAGTTTCAATAGCTTCCAAATTTTCTTACCAAACAATTTTTTCTTGCCATTCGTTGAGCAGTCAATGTTAAACAAACCTTTCAATTAATTATTATCAATTTTAGTTAGTTTTTTTTCTTACTTTTAATCAAATTTACTCACAGTCACTGTCGCTAGAAGACCTAAAAAATACAATTTTCTTATTTTTTTTTTACAAATTAATTTTTAAAAAATTATACCTTCAGGTACTTGAGCAACAATTATACTGATAAGAAAAACAACAGCTTCAACATATGTATAAGCAAGAGAAAAGTGAACAAATAGAAAAAATAAAACCAACAACAACTGCAATTATTGTTATTATACGAATGAAATGATTTATTTCACCTGCCAAAGGAGTATTACCACGTTCAATACCTAGAAAGATTTTTATTTTTCATTTTAATATTTAAAACCACACCTGCTGTTAAATTAGCAATTCATCCAATAAATGTTTTATCACCATAGTACGAATAACAACTCCAATACAGGAACCTAATATTTTACTTATTTTATAATAAGAACTCGAAAGAAAAAAAATACTTTCAACAGCAAATGTACCAAAAAAAAGTTAAATTTCTTGTTTCTAATATATCATCACTTGTATATTCAATTCTTCGAGCTTGTGGTTCAGATTCACCTGTTAATGATGAATTATCTACTTTAAGACCATGAGCACGAATTATTCGAATATCAACCGGAATACGATTACCACGATGAATTTCAACTATGTCTTTAAGTTTTTTTTTAAATAAAATTTTATTTGATTAATTTAGTAGAGAAAATTTTTGTTTTATTAATAAAAAGAATCAAAACTCCAACAACAATTTTATTAGGATTTATATTTCTTGATTCTCCATGTCGAACAACACAAGCTTGCTAAAATAGAATATAAATCTAATTTAAATTTGATTTAATTAAAATAATACCTGCCTATGGAACCAAATATTTAAATGATTCCATTATTTTAGAACTTTTTGCTTGTTGATGATAAGAAAAAAAATCCATTTATTATAATAACACTAGCTAATGCTATTCCTAAATACATCTACCAAAGGGTTTTTTTTAAAGAGAAAAACAAAAATAAACATTAATTATAATTTAAAAACATTATCATATTGTGGATCGTCCAATGTCTATAATTCAAGAAAATGAGCAAAAAAACAAAGACAAGCACCAGCCCATAGAAGCATTGCAAAACCACCAAACATATTTGTAGCTAAACGAACTATTTCAGATGTTCTTCGAACTGGTGTTAAATCA